CGAAAAGAACCGCGGTTCCAGTTCTTGACTTAGAACCGAAACGGTTCTGAACTTAGAACAGAACCGTAGTTCTCGGTTCTCAGGTTAGAACCGGAAAATAATTTTTGCAGGCAGTAACAGTTCAACGAAATAGAATTCATTTTATAGTAATAGAAAGGACTACGTCGTTACAGTCACCGGCCATGATAGAAAGACCATTTAGCTTTGCTAGGCTTGTAATAACTGAACGACGATCAAGTATCGATCCAGGGACCAGTTTCTTAAAAAAGACTTAAGTCAAGAAAGTTCTTTGTTTTTCTTGACTTAAGTTTTTTTAAGAAACTGGCCCCAGATCAGGTTAATAATGTTTCATTGATTCGTTTAGTTGAGAGAATGAAAAGTTTATTAGAACGAAAATAACTCTTTGTTTTTATTTACTTTGGATTGTTTCGTCGTTATAGAGCAGCACAGATGTATTTGCTCACGAACAGATTTTAACACTTTTCGAGTGTAACATCCATTGATTTTCTCGTTAAACACTCTACTTTATATATCATTCGACAGAGAATTTCACGGGCTTTAAAATGAGTCTTTCAAAAAAATGCCCACATGAGTCAATAGTCGAAATAAACACCTAAGGCTTTGCCGTTTTTTTTAATAAAGTCTTTTTGTTTTGAAAATTTCATAGGATTAGGGGCTCGTAGCATTTTGGATCCCATCCTTTAAAAGTCAATGAGATGTGTGTGTGTATGAAGCTTATACGCCCCTGCTGGTTCAATACTCTTATTAAAAATTATTAGCTATGGTTGGTTACAATGAGGCGTTTTCCTTGATTTCTGCGGACAAAATCCACTTCAAGCTATTGTGAATTATCAAAACATTGTTGGCTTATAGGATAGTTTTGACTTAGGCCTGTGACAGTAGGCGGTTCCCGTTCAATAAACGAGAACGGTTTTTCAGTTTCTGTTCTGAACTAGGTTCTGGTTTCGCGAACGGGAATTACAATTCTTTTTGAACTGGAAACTGCCTGCAAAAATTATTTTCCGGTTCTAACCTGAGAACCGAGAACTACGGTTCTGTTCTAAGTTCAGAACCGTTTCGGTTCTAAGTCAAGAACTGGAACCGCGGTTCTTTTCGTTTTGGTTCCGGAACGGAGAACCGAACATCTCTATTTGTTCATAAATTCCAGGCATAAATGGCAGCATTGAATGATCAGAATTATTGTATCGTTTCAAGCCAATCGAATTGCCAAGAAATAGATGAGTTTTGCGCGCACGACGTTTTCTCTCTATGGATGGTGTTAATTTGGTATTGATTGGATAAAATCTCAAGATAAAGTCATTGTATTGAGTAGTGTTATGATGTTGGCGATTGCTAAACAATATTTTACATTCCTTGTAGAATATATCTAATCCAACACATTTGCGATACTTGATCAATTATTACTCTTGACTATTGCTGCATGTATTTGATGACATCTTTAGAATATAGTTAGGTTGCATTCTTGAATTTTTGTTGAATCGTTGAAATAAGATAAACTGTTTAAAATCAAATAGTGGCGGATCCAGAATTATTTTTTGGTACGTGCGATATACGTGCGGTCGTCATAAAAACAAATTATTTTAAGAGAGATCTGTTGAGAGAAAACAGTTTTTTTTTGTTAAAAGAATTAGAAAAAATTTCTTTTAAAAGAAGAAGAACATTTGAATAAATAATACGATCGAACATTTCTTGATTCTTTATTTGTGAAGACTATTAGTTGAAGACTCCTGAATTTGTCTCATATAATAAATCAATGCAAAAATTGTATTTCATATCAAATTATAAAATTAATACAGACTTGATCTTGGGAAATATATGCTGTTTTTTTTCAGCCAATGGTAGAAGGAAAATCAGTAACAAATATTGTGTCAATCAGATATAGCTATTGTTGAGCCGAAAAGCAAAAGGAAAATATTATCCAATGAAATTAATTTCAATCTCCAATATTTTGTTTTTGCTCTTATATTAAGCATATTTGTTAGGAAAAATTTTATCTTAATCAGTTAATCATGATGGACGATAGATATATGGACAAGAGTCCTAAAAAGAATGACTTGTGTGATATAATGTTCACGGTTCAAATCTGGTTACACTATGATCTCATCAAAACTTTACCCGATCGAGATCAGAATTTTACTACTGGTACCTGAGACCTCAAAATTTATTTTATTTGAATTTATTTTTAAGAACTTAAGCTTGAAACTGGAATGTAAACGAAGGTGATACGATAAAGAATCGATAAACACGATACTCACAGTACCAAAGCGCTAGTCTATTCTAAAAACAACAGACTTACTTTCTCTTTTAAACCTAATTCCAGGCAAATAAGACGTCACTGATTGTCTGCCCTGGGAATGATATCATAAATTGAGGAAAAATTAGCGTCTGGATCAGACAAAAAACACGACAATTAAAGATAAGACGCCAAACGTTTGAGAAAAACTAATTGCCAATTTGCTTATATTGTGTAAAAATAAGGCGAGGTCTTTGTATCAAACAAGTTTATTTTATGAAATTATCATGTATCCTGATACTATTGTCTTTTCTGCATAAAAAAATGTTTGCTTTTTCAGAATATCGATATTTTGTATTTCGATGATTAAAAGAAAATTGTGCGTTAATCTACTCCCTTGAAAATGAATGCGTGAACAACATAGACATATAGGTTGACTGACAATAATACAGACAACACAATGTCGCAGTAAGGTTGATTTGTTTGTACACACCGACAGAATTTCAAGTGAGAAGGAAACAAGATTATGCACTTGATATTTTTGAGAGAAAGAGAGAGATCGAGACAGAGAATGACGATGCATTCCAATTCATCATTTTTCGTTTGATAATTTTATGTAGTTATACGAACATTTTCACATTCAAATAAGTGATCTATTATATCTCTATTAAATATAGTAAAAACTTTTCCCCACACCATTCAAACAAGTCAGATACGATGATCTAACAAATCAAATTCCATGGTTCTGTATTGAAGTACAGATGCATTGTTGTAAAACCTCCTGCCTCTTCGTATCGTTTTGGTATACACTTTGGAACTGGAATTAAAAATGACTAAAAAGATACAAAAATAATGATTTATCAAAGTTATTTGGATTTCAATGAAAACAAATACCTGTATTGCAGCAGTAGGGGGGTATTCAAAACGTTTTGAATATTCAAATTTTCCAACTACACTCCATCCAAAACCTGTCAATTTACCACGATTGAATAATAAGAAACTTGGGAAAAATGTATCACAGTCTGCATCTAAGTGATTATCATACCAGTAATGGACTCCTAAAAATTACGCATCAATTAGCGATTTTCGTCAAAAATAACGATTATTCTCTATTACCCATTGATGGAAAACAAGCGCCTTTTGTCCATTTTGTTGAGCCAATGTTTTCTTCTCGTAATGGAATTGCCATAGAATCTGTAAGTGGGTTTGCACCGTTTTGTAACCATAGTCCAGTACCTGTACCATCACTTTTGAGCGATTTCTCATCACGACCTGCACCGCAGATTGTAGCTACAACTTCCAACGCACAGTCACAGAAAGAACAGGAAATGCGTAGGTCTGGACAAACCTGGATTCACAAAATACGCAGTCAGAGTATAAGCATTGATACCGTTGATAACGTCCCGATTAAACATACGTTGTTTGTCAAATGCATAGTGGCCACTTTCTATAAGTGGAATTGGAATCTGAAAAAGACGCGGTGTGCATGATCAGTCGTGTGATTGAAAGGATATTTACAGCCATTGAACGTCTTGCATTAAAGACATCGACGCAAAAACAAGGAGGGAAGCAAAAGTGATCGATAGAGGATGAAAAGTGATAGTTATTTCTAGCGTAATAGAAAAGAACTGGATGAAAAGTATAGAATGGACGTCCTGCATGATGTCCACCTTTGGACACCTGCAATAATTCCTTGACTATCAAATAATAATATTAAGGCTGAATCGTTGTTCTTCATGTATCGATTGCCAAGCGTTTTTCCTTTTAAAAAACAAAATATATATAAGTGAGTGCATGGCAGTGAGATGGCATAGTCACTCGAAAATCGATTATACAAATTTATATGGAATAAAGTACTAAAGAATTCTCTTCTTGTTTATTATGATAATAAAGTAAAGTATATAAATTATCCCTTACCATTACAAGAGCCTGCGATTTTTTGATATTTATCTTTGATGGCATCCTTTTCGGTTCTTGGCTGTTCGATAAAAGCACCTGAACTTAAAGGAGTCGGACCCCATGTCGCTAAAGAGAACGAATTCAATTTCAGCTTAAACTTTTTAAAATACTTCGTTCTCAAAATTTTCCCTACTTACCTTTGAATGTGTCCCAATCAGGATCATTCCCGAGAAGGAGCGATTCAACTAAACGCAAAGAATGTAAAGTAGATAAAAGTTGTGTACCTATCGTAAACGTTTTTACCTGGTAAAAAGCACAGTAGGACTACTGCAAAAATTATACACTTCATAATAAACTATTATTCTGTTTATCTCTTCAGAAATTTTGTATGTCAAGTTCTAAATATATAATGTAAAATGTGCTTGTTTTTTATTATTTGTTAAAAAGTAATCAACTTGAGGATTAAAAAAAATTAGTAACAGATACTGAAAAATCATTCATATGTCAATATTTGTGACGTTTTTCTTATATTAGAAAAAAAGTATCTATTGCATTCTAAATATGAATGATGCTACAAGCCTATAGTGCATAACTGTTTGAGATAATTTTAGTATATATAAGGTTGGGGAAAGGTAAAAGTAGAGCAGTTTTAATTTTTTTGATTTTCATACATCATCTGATCCAGTTTTTTACGCTGAATCCGAATATGTACAGTATGTTCAGAAAAA